AAAATGAGTATCCATTTCGTGGCCAGCAATGACTTTACTCAATGACCGCAAAGAAAAATCCATAATTCCTTCACATCATACGTGAGTGGGGATTTTTTTCTTCGAATATATTCATTGAAGCATACAGAACAAAACCCCTGTGTTGAAATATTTTGTCGCGGATAAAATCAACCCCCACTCTCTGTATAATAATTTTTAAAGAAAAATCCATAATTTTTTCAAATATTTTATAGATAAGGATTCTTTTCTTAAAATCCATTTAATTTGGCATACAGAATGAGTCCCGTATGTTGAAATATTTTGTCGGTTAAATTCAATAACTCCATGAAAATATACGTGAATGAGGATTTTTTCGCATAATTACATACTATGAGAGGTGCTGAATGAGACCTATATCTCAAAATATTTTGATGAGCAGAAAAACTACCCCCACACACCCTTTTATGTTTTCAAAATTGAATTCAATAACTCCATTGAAATATTCGTGGATGGGGATTTTTTTTTCATAATTACATACTATGAAAGGTGCTGAATGAGACCTATATCTCAGAATAATTTGCCGGGCAGAAGAACTACCCCCACACATCCCCACACCCACACACCCCCCACAAAATATTCTGAGATATAGGTCTCATTCAGCACCTCTCATATTATGTAATTATGAAAAAAAAAATCCCCATCCACGAATATTGTGATGGATTTATTGAAGTTTATTTTCAAAACATGTATGGTTGTGTGAAGATAGGTTTTCTGCCTGGCAAAATATTATGAGATACAGGTCAGATCCTCTCATCAATATAATGAATCAATATTCATTTCTCGAAGAACATTCTGCAGTGAATTTTCATTATTTATTGGAAATAGTCGTAGCTGTTCTCCAATTTACAACACATTTTGGATGCCGCTGACGCCGTGTGCAGTAGGCTCACGCTACAAACCCATGGCTAGAAATCCGTGGCTGCCTTTACACTCGTAATTTTTGGTTATTTTTAATATTTGAAATATCAAAAAAGTAAGGTAATACCTTTGAAAAATCACCAAAAAATTGCTCTTTTTAGAGGGGAAGTGATTTTTCTCAGCCAGTCAATGAAAAATGTTCGGTATAGCAAAAATTTGTTCGACCCAAGAAGTAACATTTAGATTACTAAATTTTATGTTGCAAGAAATTACCACTACGTTTGGAGTTTCTTAACCCCTGTACCAGCAAAAATGAACAGCATTGTTGAATAATGAATCTATATAAGCATATGAAGCATATTATGCAATGTTGTTTAGTAATAAACTGAAACATAAATTTCATGGCATTTGGTATCATGTTGTATGGCACTAAGTTATTCAATCAGGCATAGTTTTTATCACTTCAAAGTGAAGGCAAACAAGATCCATGATGAGTTTCTTGAGCTCCGAATATTTTATATTGGCTTGTGGTCTGTAACTTTTCGAAACAAAGAAATTATATGTTGCCTCAGCACATGCATTGATCTCGATAATAAGAAACATTCCACTGAATAGTCTCTAACGATTTATCAACACTTAAAGTCCGATAGTAAAACTTAAAATAAACAAAAAATAATGACTTTAAAACATGTATTTATACACAAAATAAATAACATATTCAACAATAAAAAGAAAATAATAAATTATATTAGCAGTTACATAATAAATAAAAACAATTAAGTGAAAAACATAGATAATAAATTACATAAACAAAAATAATGTTTAAAAACAAATGGAAACGTAGAAATGACATTACATTATGGATGATACACACTACATACTGGCATTGTTTCAAAAATTTGAATAATCTATAACAGCGTCACTAGAAAAAATTATGTAGCTGTCAAAGCCCTAGATTCTATATCAACCACATTCAAACAAGCTGTAGTCAAAATAATTTTGAAATGCATGAATTTCACACACCATCAAAAATCCTATCTCTGTTGATTTCACTATATTTTGAGACGATGTGAAAATATTCTTAGGCGACAACTACAGAGTGCGAGATTTTCCTAATAACAAAAGCAGAGACCATTGTCTACAAAGTCTCAATACGAAAAATAAACCCCGAGAAGAATAAAAATTCAGTTTTGATAATGTACATGTAAAGTTAAAATAACAATTTCGAAAAGTAATCAATGCGATAAAATTACAAAAGAAATGAATTTGGTTTAAACATAATAGCACCCACGAGTAGTGAGATAATATATACAGGAGCATAATTGTTGTTCATACTGTTTCCAGAAAATCGATGATTAGGAGCCTTTTGAAAATTATGGAAGTGTACAAGGAAGTCATTTGAAATCGATGAAAAATTCCGGAACCTGGTACCTTTCTTTCATCATTTAACCTCATACTATCACTCCGCTACCCACCTCTGCGCTGAAGGTGACTTGAGGCAGATACAGTTTTCTTCTGTTGTAATCCACAGATGTCGTATTCGTTGAACAAACTGTCGAGGGCCTACGTTGCACTAAATTGGTACAAGATGTCAGGGAAGCCACAGGAAGGGCCGAACTACTACCTAACGTACCAGATGTCGCCAATGCTGTTGATAGTCGTTTCACGCTAGGTAAGGAACCATTTCTCGATGTGTTGCGTCTGAATATTTCTAGTGTTAATTGACTTCCGTATGATCTGAAAAAAAAAACAGGTTATATGTATCATTATGTAGTAATATCATTATCATAACATAATAAACCGGTGTATCACTGTCATACTCCAGAAAAACATTGGAAATAAGTAGTAACAGACTCTAGTACATCTGTGAAATCTTTTCTGAAATGTGTGGTGGAGTAATTCGTGATGATGTGAAAGAACTTCAGATGTGTAGGAAAGGAGACAAGTAGGATAAATAAAAAGAGTTATATGAACCGTATTTTGGAGAGTCCAAGTGAATTCCTCAATTACGTTTTTTCTTCGAAGCGAAACAGCGAAAAAAAATAAACTACACAAATGAATTCGTACATATCAGGAGAGTCAGTTCAGAGAATGATGAAATAAAACGACAGAATGATGAAATCAAAACAATATTTCTAAGTACGAAAAGAGATCATGGAATTAGGATCGACCGATTGAAAGTTTCTATTATGGAACTGAAAAGATAACTCCCAACTTTGAGATAGAGTGATCAGAATTGAGATATAACATGAGATAATCAATGTTTCAATCCATGATTTGTGAAAAAAGGACAATGGAAATACGTGTATGAACCTAATTTGATTGGAAATTGAGGATACCTATACATATAACAAACGTGTACCATGTTGGGAAGTTTTATAGTGGAGGTGTTAGACCTATTCTACTTGAACTGTTGAATAATGAAATGAAAGGTGAGATTTGGAAAAGTTTCTCCAATTTGGATAAATACAGAAGTTTTTGGAGAAAAGACAGTTGTTGCTATTGAAACTTATGAAGTGAAAAACTGATCCACTGAGAGAAAATCAAAGATCAGAATTTTTGCATATCAGAGTTACACCCATTCGTTTCTCAAAACCTCCATGTGACTTTACTCAAAAGAAACAAACAACACGTCTCAAGCGTATTTCATTGAGCTAAGCTCATTGTAAGAGTTAGAAAAATGATATATTTTCAGTATTTAAGTTTTTGAATTCGAAAAACTTTCATAAAAAATACAATTTAAATTGTCCATGAGCTGACGACGAATTTATATAAAGTGTGAATTTATGCTACCTATATCAATTTCATTAAATTGAAAAAGTTACCTAGGGGGCAAAATGAAGTAGTTAGAAACAATTACCATTTCGATAAAATTGGTGGACTGAAGTTATGAAACGAGAAGTGGTTAATAATATAGTAGATTGCGTCAAAAAAGCAGCCAAAAAATAAAGTTCAGATTATTCTTTATCGTGAGTAGATTTTCGAACTCACAGAAACAAATGAAACAATCACTTTTAAAAGGTTATTCCAAGGCTTACCAGGTTGATGCAACCATTTTTTCCATAAATTGATGTCCGAATAGTGAGAAGATTTGAAAGGGGGGGATATATTTCATATTCGACGGTAATTTTGAATGATCGTGAATAATCTTTGGATAGGCTATGGGCCAAACAAATTGAATTGAAACAAGAGTATAAACATGGAAAATACATGTGCTCGACATTCCAACTTTTTTACTGTTTCATAAACGATCTGAATGAACAATTTTGTTCAATGAAAAACATATTGTTCTAGATAACACATTTGTACCCAGTACGTTCGATAACTCACCTGATTAAATTCAGAATATCAATTTCTGGCATCATAACTACATTATGCTTATCCACGAAAATGATATAATCTCCTGGAAGGATGCCCGCTTTATCCGCAGGTAGGCCTTTCTCCACTCGTTCTATCCTGGGCGGATGTGTCCAAACCACTGAAAACCCAAACCCCGATTTTGGCGGCCTCGTGAGTCTCTTCGTACAAGTGAATGGCGTTCTTCCATTTCTGTTGCCGGTGGCTTTTCTCTGTGTTGCCGCGGAAGATGCATCAGGGCCTTCTGTAGGATCTAACTCCAAGTACCTGGAAACAGAAAAAGTTACTTCATTGTCATAGTTTATTTTGAAACCATCAAATTGGATACTTTCAATCTTGATAAAGCAAGTAGCCACAGCAGATCTTCAAAGATTATATTGTGATCTAAGCAAGAGAGGTATGGAAACAAATTTTATAGGACTGCTATTTAATTGAAGAGTGCTGTTTCAAGTGTGAATTTAGTGTTTCCCTACTTCAAAACTCACCATAGTTTCAAAGCCATTTGTAAAAAACTAAATATATGGAAATAATGTTTTGTTCTGATAATGAATATTATTGTTTCGGATGGCTTGTGAATTGAAAATGCCATCACAGATTGTAAGGGGTATATTTATAGGACATATCAGTTTTTGGCAAAGAGAAAATTTGACTTTTTACTTTTTCATCTTCATACAAAAAAAGTGAGAACTTTCGAAGGAAAGTGGAAAGCAAATAATTCCAAAATAAACTCTCCATGAAAATGTGTACATCATGCACTAAATTTACATCCAGATACAAACTGGGAGAAATGTTCTATTTTGAAATTTATTACTTTCTTCTATCATTCGCAAGTTCTCCACATTGTATAAATGGAGACAGAAGTAGAAAGCTAAAACGCTTCTTTCCAAGTACTATCACAGAGTTAGTGGATTTATATAAATCTATCAAACTTCAAATTTGCAGATGTAAAATGTCTGTTTTTGTTGTTCATATGCAGGGTTGGTTGTGAAACAATTTCTGCATAGTTCATTAGACAGTCAATTTTCTGAACGTAATGACTGAATGAGTATCGTGTTGAATGTTACTTTTACTTCTGAGGCTTAACAAATGTTACTTATAGATAATGCTAACACAAGCCTACTGTTTTGAAATCAAAATTATCCTTGAGTCCAAATAGTCCCAAACCAGATATTGAAATGAACACAATCAAATATGAGATTATATACACGTTTACTACTTAATCTGATTACTTGAGGTTTGGTACGCTTCCTTTTGTCATTCAAAAGTTACTGGAAAGTGATGCTATTGTTTCTTGATAGAACCAACGACAACCATCATATTAAATTCTGATTTTGTTTGTAATTCCAGTTGAATTGCACAAAAAGTATCTACACAAAAGCAAAAATTCAGGCTCCTCATGGAAATGCAATATTTGAATCGATAAGAGGTATAAAAACAAGATATGAACATTTTATAGATTCAGAGAAAAACAAAAAAAAACATCAACCTTGGTGTTCTTCAGAGATAACCGTCTAAGTAGTAGAACGGTGCAGTTGTTGAATTTATTCAGAAAATGAACTGAACCTTTTCTTACATTTTCAAATATTTTAGATGATCAACTTTTGTATATATTTCTTCAATCTTGTTTATTCAATAATGAAGACCTTAATTTTTTTACCGAAGGTTGCGCTGGTCAGGACCTATCCTCCGAAGCCCCGATACATTCAGGAGGACACGCCACCATTATCAACTAAAGACCATTTCAAACGTCGTGGGGTAAGTGATCATTAGGTCTGAGAATCATGTGGCCTGAGCAAGTGCAATGAGCAACCTTTTGTTTGACTGAGCAGCATTTGTTCGACTAAGATTTCTGCCTTAGCATGCTCTTGAGATTCGATAGAGCATAATTCCACCAAGGACTCCAATAATCGAAACCTTGACAGCATGATCTGGATAGAGTCTGAGGAGCTCGAAGAGACACTCTCGATATCTTCTCCTCCTCTTTCCGGATGACAATTGTCTCTTCAGGAGCTGAAAACTCTACGAAAAATATTGTCTTGTTCTGGTGGCCAAGAAGGACATCAGACTTATCAGCTTGTATAAGCCTGAGGGTGTGGAACAAAAATTCCCTTTTGGCACTTCTCATTTCCCACAACGGATTCAATATCCTCCGAAGTGTAGGGCAACACTAATGTATCGTCAATATCGTAAAAGTGCCGAAAAACGAAAATAAAAAAATATTCGAATCTATTTTCAATGTCTAAAATTATCTTTGGACATAAGTGACTCATTTAACTGTTGAGATATTATTTATAGGTTAATTTCTGCGTGGTTATTCTGCTTAGTGAATTGAAGCTCGCTTTTCTTTATGACTGAAGGTTCACATGTGTGAACCACATGTGTGTGGCTCCTTTAGAACTCCATCCGAATCAGTGTTCTTCCCTTGAAGGATCTCGGATCTAGCCGTGATCCGTTACTCTCGATTTTTAGTGTTTTTTGCTGTGTTCTTCTCATGCTCGCCGATTAGAACATTTTTTAATATCACCAAATCATTCACAAAGCATCCAGAATCACCTTCTATGTCTGGCCGTTTACTTTTTTTGAGGTTTTGTTCATGGTGAACTCTAAAACTCTAATATTGTACTTGGGTCCAATTCTTCTGATACCCTCTAACAATCTGGGCATTAACATTGCCATCGCTCTTATTGCCCTAGCTGAAAGCTGCACAATTGAGCATCTTTTCTCTATCTAGCGCCAATCTGGATAGTGGGTTTTTTCCGTCGGTCACTCAATTCAATGGTGACCATTTTCCCGACTAGACTTTTATTGGTGTGGCAAAGTATGGTAACCATTTTGCTTTCCATAGATTGATGTACTCATAACTAAGGTACAACTAAATATGGAAACAGAAAGTCGTTTCATTACGGAAGCAAGCAAGCAGTGTGAGCATTCTGAATTTTGACTATTACAATATCCCAATGAGTTTTGCCTGTTTTGGGGGTCGGTATGAAATCGAAGTCATCAGCGGGAAATTACATACAGTTCATGAGTAAATATTAGTGTTTCATTTGGACAGGTAGTAACTGAAAATATTGATGACCTATTAATGACTGCTCGAAAGATCAACATTCAAAATTTATGCAAAATAGACTCACCTCAAAAACAAATTTTCATCTGCGTACTTCTGTTGCTCATTCAAAGCTGTCCTGCAATTCGATTTCCTCAAATCACTCTCCAAGTCCTCCAAACTTATCAGTTCGTCAACGCTAGAGTGACTTTCGCACATTTTCGTTTCTTTTTGGCAGTTTTCGTCAAGACTGCAGGATAGTAAGTCCAATGTTATCGGCACGTTCGCAGTACGACCGGTAGATTGAGGTAGGAGTTTAAATGATCCACTGATCCCCTGAAAAAGAAATATTCAGTATTAGTTTCAGTTTCCTATGGAATGTACTTCTTATGAAACATAATCGTGTTTCAAAATGGAAGCCGGAGGTCGCACTGGTCTTTCAAATTTCAAGTAGTTGGCATCTTGAAGAGTACGAGAAATTCTGTGTATTACTGAAAATTGAAAACACTTTCCTCTCACCAGAGAACGCACGTTTTGATAATCAATTTAGCATCGTCGAAGTGTACTCATATATACTCCTGAAGGTGCTACCCGCTTGAAATATTGAGTTGAATTTATTAATTAGAACGACGGTGAATAATCTTGAGAAATAGATTTGACCGGTATGTAATAGAATTTGTTCACTCAACTTGATATAGAAATAAATCATCTGTAAGATTTTTCAAACTCATTTGAAGATTGAAAGGACTTTTCATCTACTTTCATGGGTAATGGAATTTTTCAGTTTTTCAATTTTGGATATCGTTCGAATTTTAAAGTATATCATATTCTTTGAAGATTTTCGTTGTATATTATTTTTAATGTGTTATTGGTACACATTATTTGCTATCCTCTTTTAGTCACTTGATGAACATGCATGTTTTTTATGATTATCAAAGTTATTATTTTCTCCCCAAAGTTTGTACCGGTCGGACCCTTTCTCCTGAACTCACAATTCTACGGAAGGCGTACCAGCATTGGTATTCATAACCATCTGCCACCTTGTGTGGTGGGTGATCCTTGGGTCCAAGAATAATGTGCCCTAATTAGACGCAATAATCCAAGATTGATAGCTTTCTGCAAATATCTGACCCAGACAGAGTGGTCTGGATAGAGTCTGCGGAGTTCGAAGGGAAAATCTCGATATTTCATCCATTTTCCTCACCTTTTCGGACGATATTCGTTTCTAAAACTGGCTGGGGTTTATATTACAAATTCATGTTGGGAATGGCTTGTGCCAGTTGCTTCACGAATGCTATCGCTTCCCTCAGTTTGCCATTATCGATTCCAATGTCAACCTGCGAGAATAGCCAGATGATAAGTGACGAAATTATGTATGGAATCCATACCAGTTTCACCGTTGGTAGAAGTGTCGGAGGATTCTTAATGAACTGTTCTTGTGATATTTACGGTCGAAAACGTTTGATGACATATTCATTGCTGACGATCTTCCTCACAACATTCATGTCAGCTTTCGCGTATAACTACTACATGATCATTTGCGCTGCTTTGTTTTTGGGAAGTGGATTGGAATGCAATTTAGCCGTCGTGAAGATACATTTAGCAGAGATTTTACCAAAGAGAAAAAGAGGCTTTTACTTGTGTTTTTGTGATATATCCTGGACTTTAGGGTACTTAGGTGTATCGGTATTTGCAGTTCTCATGAGAAATCCTGCGTATGTAGAGCATAGAGCTGTTGATATGCGAGTTTCGACATGGAGGATGATTCTCGCTTTATCTGGTGGTTTCAGTCTTTTGCTGGCATGCTCGTCAGCTCTCTTAGAGGAGAGTCCCAGGTATTTCATCCACGCAAACAAAGGCTACCTCTCAGTTTTAACACTCAAGCAATTTTTCGCAATAAATAAATCCAGTTATGGGAACTCCTTTGATATTAAAGAGTCTGATATAAGGAATCTAGTTCAAGATTATGGTTTGTCTATTCATCATGTTGAGGGACGAATTGACTTAGCTGAAAATTCATTGAATATCATTGGCAAATCTGTAAAGTTGATACTGTCTGAACCATTTCGTAGAGCAACCTTGCTTCTCCTAACAATCAAAACGCCTCTTCTGATTTTCAGTATATTGAACATAAACATCCTTTTGGCAAAAATGTTTATCGAAAGTTCTGCGGAGAATGGCCTTGATATCATCCATTTAGATCCTGTTGGTAATTCAACTATGTGCTCTAGTTTTGAAGACAATAAAATTTTGTATTTTCATTTTCTCGTTTTGGCTGTAAATATCCTTTTGGGGCAAATTATAATGATGTGGTCCCTTGATTATTTGGGAAGAACACCATCTTTGATTTTTAGCCTGTCACTTACTGGCATCTCCTTCACAGTTCTGTTTTATGTGAAAAATAATATGACTAAAATAATCGTTTCTTCGGTTCTTATTTTATCTATCAGTGCGGCCCTGACTACAACTAACGTTATGAACATTGAACTATATCCTACCTGTGTTAGGGGGACTTCACAAGGATTAATACAATTTTTTGGAATATTTTTGTCAATTTTTGCAATGAGATATTATTACCTAGTTTCAAATTGGTTTTTTTTGATTGGTGGGTATATATGTCTCTGTATTTCATTCTTCTCGTATTTTCTACACGATATGAAAAGACACCCTATGGTGGAATAATAATTGATAGACGACCATGTATAACTGCATATGTATTAAATTTTTTTGAAAATGTAATAATCTTGGCAGACAATGTATTATTTTCCTAATATAAAGTAATGACGTTTTCGTTAGTTTATTTTTTCTTGATTAACTTGGTGATAGTGAATCAAGGAACAACACTATAGTCTTGACAACTGACAACGGTCTCCGATGATAACACTCGAATAAGGACAGTTGAGTCCAATAATGCAGCAAGGCAACTTGAAAGCTGCAGAGAAAGACATAAGATGAAGTTGTGGTTTCACAACTTTGAGGAACCTGACTCATCTTTGATATTCGAAGATTGAGTTTTCTCTCGATCTCATAGATGACATCTTTGTGAGGGATGATGTCGCTTCTACTCATGCGAATAAGAGTCTTGTTTTTCCGCAGCTTTTTTGCGGCACCGCAATTCGTTCCAATCAGATTCTATGGTAGTTGAACGAAGAATATTTTTATCGAACACTCAACTTTGAGTTTTTTTGACGATTTTGATTGAATTGCAGCTGTATGGATGTTTTTCACGAAGTATCATTGTGGCAGAAGCAGATGTATGACTTTTGCGGTGATATAAAATCGTCGTTTTTTGCAAGGGTTGAGGGAATCATTTTTCAAAACTATTCCAGAAGATGCTGATTGGAAAATGAAGAAAAGTATTGTCATATACTTCAAAAACAAAAGCAACAAAATTAATGTTATGTGATAGTTTAGTTTTGTCTACCCTGAATTTTGCTGATTCAGTGTACGGTCCCTGCTTAACGAAAGCATATGAGCAAAAAATCCAAAAGATTCAGAATTCATGTTTACGTCTCATTCATGAGGTTCGAAGGCGAGAAAGTATTTCCAATGAATTGATTGGAACGGGTTGGTTAAATATGGTATTGCGTAGGCGGTTGCATGCAGTGTGCTTATTTCACAGAATAACGAAGATTCCGATTTACTTATATGAAAAAATTTCATTTCGAACCGATGATCATACAATCAATATTCGATTTGAAAGTATTTCAACATCACCAATTCACCATCATGAATTCTTAAAACGGTTCTTCAGTTATCAAATTGGCTACGTGTACAACGGTATTCCAAACGAAATTAAAAAAATGAATGTGATTAGTTTTAAGTACTACTATAAGAATGTTTTGTGGAAGCAATAAACCAAATAATACATTTCAAATCCCTAAGTTGTTGAAAGTCCCTATTATTGTTTTTTTTTTCAAATTCTGTATTATAGGCATATTCCATAATGTTAAGCTTGTGTGAGGTTAAGTGGTAGAACAAATCAGTAATTTTGAATTATTGATTTGAACTTTGCCTTTGACGTCAGCCCTAGGATCATTATTGTTCCAAATGTATTATTTTGCCCTTTTAACTGAACAGTGAATTTGTGAAGCGTTTCTCAACTTTTTGTAACACAAAAAGATTTTTCAAGTTTGAAACAAATCAAGGACTAGATTGTCCTGGACGAGATGAAAAATCTTATTTACAGTTTCTGCAAGAAAAATTCAAAACGAAATATTTTCCCCGCATTGGCAGTGTTTTGCTTTTTTAGTTCATATAAAAAACCGAATTAGTCTTTTTTTCGAAAAATACAACTATTATAACCGTTTTTGTAATGGCAAATGAAAACACTCAGTTCATTCAACGTTACTTTTTTCTAAGCTCTGATTATTAAATTATATAGGGTGTTTCCTAACTATGGTATAAAACATCAAAGAGTGATTCGTTAGGTTTTAAGCGAAAAAAGTTCTCATGAACATATGTTTGCTTGTGTTTTCTTCATATCAAGCTTCAATTTCGAGAACAAAAGTCACTTCTAAAAACTATCTATGGACAACATAAGATAAAAACCAAAAGTGAGTAATGAACAATGTTGACCATGAAGTAAATGACCGAAATGTCTATTGTCAATCATTCGATTCCTCAATTCATTCACATCTATTACAGGAGTTTTATAAACAAGACACTTCAGATGACACTATTAAAAGAAATCTAGAGGATTCCTGTCAGGACTGCGAGCTGGCCAATTTTAAGGTCCTGCACGTACATTCCAGCCATTAGGGTAGTTGAGTGATGTCGAAATGCTGACGAGCAAGAACACTGAAATGAGGTGGAGCCCCTTCGTGCATGAACCACATGTTGCCTCTTACAAGTACCGGCACTTCTGCTAACAAAATTGGTGGATGATCTTTCAAAAAGTCCGTGTAGGATTCACCTGTTAATCTTGTTGGTAGGAAAAATGGGCCATTTAGGTAGTCGCCAATCATTCCTACCCAAACTTTCAGCGAGAATAGTTGCTGAAAATGATTTTCTCTAATGACGTGGCAATTTCGTCGGCCCAAATATCGTGAAAAACTTGCTTCGTCCGTAAATAAAATATTTGGTAAACTATTATTATTGTGTATGATGTGTATGACAATATGTGTATGAATCAACCTCCTGCAAAACAATAATCTTGGGTGAAAATCCCGAGGCAGCTGGAACCCACTGTAAATGATATAAGTGTAGGAGGTTTCTCTTTAGAACTGTCCATAAGGTTTTTGGGCTGACTTCCATCTGTAGTGCAATCTTGATGTGATAGAAGAAGGATCTTCTTCTATCACTGATCTCTTCCTATATCATTAGGTATAGCTTGTTACAGTTTCTGGTCTTCCATCACATGCATTTTTATTAAAACTCCCAGTTTCACATAATCTTGCATGTAGCGGTCTGAATGGTTTAGCGCATGGAATTACTCTGTTAAGATATCTGTCCGGGCAAATTCTCCTTGCTTTTTCCGAATTTCCATTTGCTAATCCATGATTAAAGTGCATCTCAGGCATTTCAGCGTTAGTAAAATTATTCATGATGGAAACACTATCACTGTCAGCTTATATCCAAAGAAGGTGTTCATGATACGCAAAGTGGCTTCGATTTTTTTTCTCGAAAAACGAAAAAGTTGTATTTTCAGTTGATTAATCTAAAAAAATGAAAAACTACAACAATAAGTCAGTGGCGTACTTTTTTCCCAATATTGTTGACTGTGTTGCCCACTGAGACTCCACTGGATCTATTTATTTCAATCTTTTTGGGGCTAAATAAGAGCCTTATTACTTCAAATAACTGTAGCAAATTCCAATCAAATCGATGTAAGGCTATTCATGATATTTTATAAATACTGTTTTTTTAACTTCAACGCCTTGTATCTCAGAAACGAAGCAACTCCGGACATATGTTCGTGGGAACTTTTTTTCTTAGAACGATCTAACGAATCACCCTCTGAAGTTTCGTATCGTAGTTATGAAACACCCTGTAAATTATATTTTATATTGAATTATAGAAATTATCGAGGATAAACAAATGAAAACTTACCCCTGCAATAGCATTTTTCACGTCAAAAGACATACACCCGAGGAACTCACTCGTTCTGAAACAAAAAAAAATCAGTTAATAGAACGTTACCAACATAAGTTTTTGAGGATCAAATAAACAAGAGTAATCAATAAACATTGAAAACCATCGAGGGCACTTACACATGTAACACTATAGAGCAATAAGCCGATACGGTGGTGGCAGCCCCCAACTTGAGTGTTTTTGCCATTAAGCTTCCCAGGAGGGTATTAACGTTGAAATGGGGGCGAGAAGGGCAATAAAAGTAAATTGTTATTTGGACATTGATTTAGATATCCGACTAAAGCGGGACAAACGATGCTTCAGATTTGCCGGGGATTATTAGGAGGGAACTAAAATTGCTTTTACTCATTTTGTGTAAATCTATGAGATCATTTGAGAATAATTACATAACCGCGGTGTGGAGAAAGGAGACGGAACGATGTCTTCCACGCCAGATTCACGATTGAAAGTTCTTGGGAACAATATTTTTCTCTAGATAATTTATTGGTTTTCTTAATTTGTCTATTGTAACACTGCATGATTAGGGATTGTTTCAATGTTGTTGGTCCATGTTACAAGATTTCAAAAATATATGAAAGAAAAAACAAAATGATCGTATGAGTTGGTTGTTACAGAAATACTGTCCAAAAAAAGAAATTGGAAACAAAATGAAACCAATGAGTAGAGAAAAAATTTAAAAATATATGAACGTTAATTTATAAAGGAAAAACATTATTGTGACCAGAAATGAAAATAAATCAATAAATGGATTGAACCGTTGATGAAATGTCAATTATATGCATTTTTGCATCGTTTGTCTTAATTATTGTATTTTTGTCAGTCGATTTTCATAAAAATCAACCAACTTTGACCAAAGTTGAATGACGACAATTCTGTCTTTTTTAGCATTATTCCTATTTGGAATTTCTTCTAGTAGATAATTTATATTGACCAAGTAGAAATCGTGAATTATATTAAAACTCACAAGTAGAAGAATTTTAAGGGAATTATCATAACAAATTACTGGAAAACACCAACGCCAACACCACAAGTAACAGACGAGTGACAGAAATTACTCTGGCGTAAATAATCACCTTTTTTCTTATTATTCCTGGAACTAAGAATCTCAATATCTCCAGAATCCACTATTCTAAGAATTATGTCATCAACATATGGGATTTCGGGAAGCAAAACTTTTGGATAGATTTTTTGCCAAAAATAATTATTACTTGAATACTTGAAGATGATCACTTGATGATCGAAACACGTGTCGAGGTGTTGAAAATAACTATTTGGTGTTGGAATAAAACTCCAGTAATATTCATTACTTGGAAGAAAAATTGTTTATTCTTCCGGTATTCGTTAGATGTGAGACATTCCATTCTTCACTCGTAAATAGTTATGAGAACATGAATTTGTGGAAAGATAACGAAATAATTATTGAAAATATTTTGATTTTTTTTATATAACTGAATAATTTTTGAGGTTTCGCTATCACTGCAACAACAAAAATGTCATGAAAATAGTAGAAAGTTCAGCTAAACGCCAGTCTCCATACCATGTTGTTGAAGAGATTCCCCAGAATTTGCAATTCGAAGAAATTCGTGACTTTTTGTTATTTATACCAATACCTTTCATTATTTTATTATGTAGAGAATAACTGAAAAATAGATGAAAAACAGTTTTGAAGGCTGTTAATAATAATCAGTTTCAGTTTCAAAATAAAATTATGTATAGTCTATTTCAATTCATTTCAGTTCATGTACTGAAAATGAATAGAAGAACCCTTTGAAATCTAGAGACAGATTCATCATACTACCATTTCACTTATTTTCGGTAAAGTTTTGGTAGGTAATAATTCCAAATTGGAAAATATAATAATCTAATATATTAGTCATATGAAGTACGATATGAGTGCAAAACTAGTAAGTCATTTTCATACATTTTCATACCTAACCTTAAAATTAGTATCTACATAACTATATAGTAGTATTCAGTTGTAGTTATCTGCGCCCTGCTTTACCACGAAATGTATGCACCTTCGATACTAATAAACCATTCCATTTATAAAAGATGCCGTTGCGCACACCCACATATAGGAAACATATGTTCGTACGTCTCATGTGACAATAGAAATGAAAATAATCAGAACACCGGTAGCTAGGTAGATATCGATTGTAGTTGGGATTTGTGTGAACTATTCATTACTGTTAATCCTTTCTGGTCTATTAAAAGTGGTAGTCTGGGCAAATGAAGGCAAATGAAGGTGATCCTGCTCTACAACAATATTTATTTTTCTTACCAGTGGCGTCCATGAGGTTTTTGCGCAGTGAATCATTTTAAGTAATATACCATTTTGAATTTTTTCAATCCTCATTCCATTTCGGGAAAATCTGGAATTTTGTTTTTTCTCTGTTTAAAAAGTGTGATTTTTGCATAAAAATGTATGTCCTTTAATGTAGTGGCTAAGTAGTGTCTAATTACTCCTATTAAATGATCGTCGAATACTCTAGTACACACCCCAACAGAAAACTGCTCCTGGTGATGGGATTCCAAGATTAATTTTGAATGTCATTACAGGAAAACTTGGCTGTGGATGTAGTAGGGATATAATAAAAAGTCATAAAGTATTTCATAAACAAGCGTTTGTGATAAATGTGTACTGTAACCAGTTTTTCGTAGACTCAATCTGAAATTTTTCTCAACTGAATTTGAAAAAGCTACCTCAATACTCAGTAAGTACTCCTTAGATGCTTTTTTCAAAAGAATCACCTTTTCGTAAAATATTCGAAAAGTTCAAAAATGTTCCTGTCTTCAAAATATTTATATATGAAAAGCCCTTTTTAAACAACTGCCTGGCTTCCAATGAGTTTTCAACAGCAAGTCCACCCATTTGACTCATACATTTTTGCAAACTCAACTGGAGTAGGTGGAGAGATGTAAGAAGTATGTATGCACTTAAAATATTAAAATATTCTTGACACATCGTGTATAGCTTCAACTGTATCAGAAATATGTAGAAAACGTTCTTGTTACTTCCAAACCCTATTAGAAATTTGTGCAACAATCATAAATTCGAATTCAAATAACGCTTCATTATGAAATATTCACTTCATTTTACCAAATCGCAATATTTGTTTCACTACACTGGACCTACCAAGTAATAAAAAATCTAACAATTCCTTTGGTACCTATCAACAACATTCCGATTACTACAAACGGCTGCAGACATTCAATTTGCTGGGTGTAACTCTATGTATTTTTAAGAGCATTGTCGGAGGACAGTGAGACGCGCATGGGGTCTTTCACCCCGTGTGGTCACCTGGATCTACACTGCAATAATAAGACCTATGTTAACGTACGGCGCCATTGCATGGGGACCTAAAGTTCTACAAGTAATAGTCATCCAAAAATTATATCATATACAGCGATTGGCTTGTTTAAACATCACAGAAGCCATGAGAACCCAAACCGCGGCGAAGGAATTAAATACTGGTGTGACCTCTCTTAACCTGTACGTTAAGGAGGTTGCGTTAATGACCATGTTACGATTGTACACAGCTGGTGTAAACCTCGAAGTTGCAGGCAACCAGTTATGCAATTGAACCCAGGTTTGTGTTCAATAAACTCTACAAAATAGAAATAAAACAAAACACAGAGTCAGATGCTACAAATGCAATACGCATATATACAAACGGCTCAAAAACCAAAGAAGGCTCAGAATGTGGAGTGTACTCCAGATCACTAAGCCTAACGATTAAGTGGGGAATGGGAAAAAATATCAGCGTGGTTCAAACAACAAAAGAAATAACCAGGAAAGGAATTTTTGACAAAAACATAACAATCTGCGCTGATAGCAGACAAGCCCTATTAGCCTTGAACAAACAACGTGTCACCTCACGGCTAGTACTAGAAGTTTTAGGATCCAGTGGCACCTACGGCCTGATGACTTCGACAATTGCGGAACTAGCCAAACGTTACACATAGGCTCAATCCCTAAAGAGATGGGATGAAATCAAAGAATGCAATCTTGTCAGGATCACCCTGGTCGACCCTGGGAAGCTGGCGCCGAAGAAATATCTGGCGATGGCCAGGAAAAATATACGCTTAACAGTAGAATTTCTCTCTGGCCACTGTCAACTAAGGAAACACCTCCATAATATGGGGCTAGTGGACACACCTCTATGCAAGATGTGTGAACAGGAAGATGAAACTGTCAGACATGTCCTATGCGAGTGTCCGGAGTTATCGTCGAAAAGAGAGTATATGTTCGGCGAGTCTTGGCCTACACCTGCCGATATAAAGGAGATGTCTCCTAGTGACCTGTCCACCTTTCTGGAAAGGACAAGATGGACGATGACCTAGGAGGACAACTCTTCGGGAGGATGTACAATGGGTCACATGTAGCCTAAGTGTTGTGGGCNCTAATTTTCAGAATAGTGGGTTCTTACCCTGAGAAAGGGATCAGTAAGGATGTCATATATAAACTTTTGGGAAAGAAAGTTTTTGGCTTTCTACTACTCCATCTGATTCAAAAAAATGAATGAGAGAATCTTCCAAAGAAAGGAAGGAAAATAATCAATTTGAAAATAAGTAACTCTATACGTGGATGTGTAGATCATGCAAAGAAGTAACTTTCAGACACAACGTTTGGAACTTTTTAGTTTAGAGCATCGCAGAAAATGTGCGTCGCTTATATTTTTATTCAAATTAGTAGTTGACTGTCGTAAAATTCTGGAACAAACAAACTTCAATGTACCACGGTCAGTTTCACGATCTCATTCCATTTTTTGACCTCTCAGAGCAAAAACTAACATTATGCTCAAGTCTCCAATAAATGTTATGCGTATGAATTTTAATAGTATTTGTTCCCATTGTGATATATGAAGTAGGTAATTAGACATAGTTTTTCATTTTGTTTATTTTATTTTTCATTGTACTGTAAATAGGTAACTGTTGGACAATAAAGCTTTTATCATTATTATTATTATAGCTCTATTATCCTGGATGCAATGAAAATATTCATAAAATATA